CATTTTGGATGATATGACATATGACACTTCATAATTTTGATGATATGTCACATGTCACATTAATAATTAAACATGTGTAAAAATATCACGTTAGAAGCATACGTTTACTGTTTGTGCTACTTTGATAAAAATTAAAACGTCAAATATTAAAATATTCTAAAAACAAAATAGAGACCAAAGTGATCATTTGTGCAAATATTGGGCGGCTAATTTTGTCATTATGACAAAAAGATTTTTTTTCTTATTTTTTATTGTCTAAGAGAGTGATATCATTGATCTTTGATTAAGCTGTTGTTATCCATGTTTTGTTATGATCCTTGTTATTTTTTTCTCAATATTTTTTTTCTATTTTTCATCAATTTAACTTTTTACATATTTCAAATTTTATGTTATCTTCTTTTAATAAGTCTTCTCCTTTTCAAACGCAAATTATTGATATTTTTTTATTTTTATAGTAATTTTTTAAGGTTGAATTTGACATCATCTTTATTGATAATTATTTGGTTATTTTGTAACTCTATTTAGATTCTTAGGCTGGTTCTCTTATATTGATAGACATTCGTAATCATCAATGATAGGTTGCAATAGAATTGCAATAAAACTAAATTTGTTAATGTGTCATTATTGTTACATGCATTTTTATGTTAGTGTTGATGGTTTTATCATTCATTGTCAAAATGATGTTTGTTTGTATATATCATTTTTTAATTGTTTGATTAGATTTTTAACACTTTTCTTAGTTTTATTTTATTCTTTGGTGGTAAGTTTGAGCATTCTATTGTTCTATGAGAAACAATCAGTTAATTTAATTAGTTTACTCTAATTTTTTTAGATTTTTATTATTGTTTTATTATATTTTTTAGGATAAAATAGACAAATGATCCTCCAACTATAAGGTGATATTTTTTTGAGTCCATTGATTATTAAAAGTTATAAAATGGTCCCTGATATAAGGTTTTGCTTTGTTGAGTCCCCCAACTATTAAAAGTTATAAAATAGTCACATGATTATTCATATGTTCCAAACTCGTCCTTTTACATTAAAGAATTGACGATCGTTTGAGTTGGACCTTAACACGTTCACTGGGATATGATAAAATTTGATCATAGAACTGTTTGAGCTATATTTTGTGGACCAACTCTCTGTTTACATTATGTCATTGAGTCAATGCTTGAAACATTATGTCGACAAGTCAGTGCTTGAAACCAATGTCGGTACCAGTAGACATCATCAAAATATGATTTTATCATATCTCAATCAACAAGTAACGTCTAGCTCAGATGACCGTCACTTTTTTAATAGAAAATGATGAGTTTGGAACATATGAATAGTCAGAGGATCATTTTGTAACTTTTAATAGTAGGGAGACTCAACAAAGCAACGCCCTATAGTCGGAGTATCATTTGTATATTTTACCCTTTTATTTATTAATAAATTTAATGATTATTATTAATTAACATTTTTTAGAAATAAATTAAAAGAAAGATTCCGTAAAAAGCAAATTAAACCCTAAATGAATATTAAAAAAAAATATTAGACTAACAAATAACATATATATTTTAGCTTAATGTGTAAGTGATAACGACGTCCAATTTTATCAAATCAGATTCCCAAAATGCCGAAACAAAATATAATATTTATAGAAATCAGTATACAAATTAGGAGCAACAACAATTAATTAATATTACTACTAATTAAGAATATATACATTAGAAAAAGATCAAATATAGAATAACTTAGAGTGTAAAAGAAAATGAATTGTTGATTTACAATTGTAACCTCTTAGACCTGGTCTAGACGTTACGATCGAATTTAGATGGTTACATATCGTATTTAGATGTTCTCTTTATATTTAAAACATAGTTAAAATCCATACAACAATATAATTTGAATCTAACCATCAGTAAGGTTCATATGGTAAACATATATATATATATATATATATATATATATATATATATATATATATATATATATATATATATATATATATATATATATATCAGTAAGGTTCATATGGTAACATATATATATATATATATATATATATATATCATAAAAAATGTATAAATATATACAAAACAAAACAATAACAAAAACATGTGTCCCCAAAGTATAACAAAAGGAGCATATAGAGATATACAGCGGTACAAAAATGAGGAGTGATTGGTTCTCCTAATGCCAAGTCTTCTTGTATATTGTCTTCAACTATCTAGAAAGGTTAAAAATTTACATAATGAGCAAAAAAGCTCAGTGTGTTCCTTTTGGTGTATAAAAACAAACAAATAAAATATTTCAGTAAAAATCAATTCATCGAACATGTTTTAAAACTATGAAAACTACACCATCTGATCACCAAAATGTGCAGGTTCCCTGGAACCATACATCCACCTGTACACCTGGTAAGGGACTTATACATATAGCATAAGGACCTGTAGTAATGACTTATCCTGTGCACAAAGCAGAGGAGTCTGCAGTAAAGTCTTACAAGTCATAGACTAGGCATGAGATATTTCCTCCAATAATACCCCCATGACAGTAATAAACATGTATGTATTCGAGTGAAAATGATAGTTTAATTCATTAAAACATGAAAATATTCTATATTCAGAAATCAAATACAAAAATACAGTAACCAGAGCTCATATCAGAAATATATGATAAATCAGATATCAGATAAACAATATTAAGAAAAATCAGGTATCATGTCATAAAAATATTCAGTATCATCAGAAAATTAAAACAATGCAGATAAGTAATTCAAAACAGTAATGTAACACCATCAGGAAACATACATGTACCGGTCTGAGTAGTCTGATCAGGTAGCCTACTGTTGGATCTGCCTATCACGATCAGCGGCAGAGTTAGATCCTACGAATAAAAAATCTACGTCATAAATCCTAATATGAATAATAATTACCTCTATTTAAATAATTTACGGAAGCCTACGAATAAATCCCGAAGAACGCGAATCGTGCGAATCTGTCGGACGGATAGCATCGTATCTAATCGACCCTCGATTGAGAGAAACACGAGTACCTTCAAAAAAATACATTCCTAAATCAATTACATAATCAAATCTCAAATAAATAAACAAAAATGTTAAAAATACTAAGCATTTTCGTTTTAACTGAATCAATTCAAGGCTTTAAGGTCAAAATTTGGCAAAATAGACCACAAAATCGGACTCAGGACGACGAAAAACATCAAGATGAAGGCTTTCAGAAAAAGTTAATTGTGGTCAACGACGGTCAACAATCAACGGTTGACTTGGTTCTATCTGGACTGGATCGATTCAGTTCAGTTCGAGCTTGATCGATTCAATTTGGTTGGGCCAGTTAGGGTTTAGGTCAGACGGGTTAGGCTGAACAAGTCAGGTGGGTCAAGTCAGATAGACAGACGGGTCGGGTAGACGGGTCAGTAGATGGGTCGGGTTGACCCGTTTCGGGAAGCCCACTAGGTGGTGGATAAGCCCCACGCGCAAGGGCGCCACATGGGGGCGTATGCGAGGCTCTCGGGGCTCAAAAAAATTACGAAATATTTTTTATGCTCTATTTAAAGGGTTTTAAGATATTTATCAAGCTCGGTTCACAATGGTGAATGACAGAGAGCTCAATTTTGTAACGTCGAAAACTTATTCTTCCTCACCCATTTACACGCTAACGACAATGGAGATAAAGCGAACATCGATGGACTTAGGTCGACACAAGGAATACGATGGTGTGAGAGATGTCAAAACCAAAACAATGATCGACGATAAAATATCAATCGAAGATTTTTTATTGAAAGAGGAAATGTTGAAGAGAGAGAGAGAAAAAGAGGCTTACATTTTTCAAAATGGAAAGTTTCATGATTTTGGGTTTTTAAACACAACATTTTTAGAAAATGGTATAATTATACTATATGTCCTACAGTTTTTGATACTTTCATTAATTTATATTTGAATTTAATTAAAAATTCACTTTAGTCCCCAAATTTAATTAAAATTTCAATTTAGTCTCCAGTATTAATTTTAAGAAATTTTTAGGCCCTAATTTGGGTGTTACAACAATAACCTAAGTATATTAAATCAAACATTTAGAACATAAGTAAAATAATTTAGTAGATAAAATAAAATGTTTTAATTAAATGAAGTATTAACACAAATTATATATTACCTAAAGGTATAATATTTGTTAGTTCGTAGCTATTTTTGTCATCATACATTATTAAAATATTTTTATTTTTATTTTTAAATAATCCAAAGTAATTACAAAATAATATATCTTAAAAGAATTAATCATTAATAATACATATATTCTATAAATATATAACAATATTTTTTAATCACTAAATCAATTAATAAATTTTATTGAAATAATTTTGAGTGTATACAGCGATCAGTATAAAAGAAAATGGATTTGGTTGTGTTAGCCCAAGTTAGAATCCCATCTTTAAGAAAGAATCTATGTTAAATGTTATGAAATTAGAGATGACAATTTATTCGGAGCGGACGGATTTCGACTTAATCCAATCTAATAAGATTGGTTTTTTTAAAATATTAGGTTTGATTCGAGTTAGATCGAATTTTATATATGGGTGATGTTAGGTCAAGTCAGATTCGGATGGAGGATGAAAAATCTTTAACTCAACCCAACTCAAGAGTAATAGTATATTTTTCATATAAATTTATGAATAATTTCTATAATACCCCTCTATATATATTTTTAATTAGATCTTTATTTTATATCATATTAGGTCGGGTCGATTTAAATTTATATTCTAAAAAATTAGATAAATAAGGGGTTCAAGTGGAATAAATATGTTCTTTTGAGTCCAATAAAGATATATATTTCTCAGATCTAATCAAATGAAAGTATATATACATCAGATCGGATTGGATTGATTAAAAAACTCGACCCAACTCCATCATTGTCATCCCTATATGGAATAGAGGAGAGCATGGGACCGACAGAAATAGTCATCTCAGGTGAGATTGAGAGAGAGACTCAAAACTGCAAAAGGGAAACCGTGAAGAGATCACAACATATCATTAAGAAGCAAATTGAACAACAATAGCAAGAAGAAAGAAGAAGAACAAGGGAAGATGTTACCAATGGTGAGCAAAACTCGTTCCTCGCCCTCCACATCTCGACCCAACTTCATGTTCCCTCAGTACCTCCGTCGAATTGTCAAGGTTCAATCTCTCTCTCCCTGGATCTGATCTCTATTTCCATCTGATTTCTATCCAAATGTTTGAATCTTGATGCAATTAGGAATCATTGCTTCCTTTGTCCATTTTTTGTTATTTGATGTTGTCTCCTTGCTCTTGTTCTTGATTAAATGGAATTTATAGATTTACCTTCTAATATTTATTTATTATTTTAAGTATTCCTATTTAAAGATTTAGTTGCGGGTAGCATCTGGAATCAGGGAGTAGACTTGAGGTTTGGAAATGATAAAAGACAAGTGATTAATGTTAAATCCAGATTTAAATTCTAATATAAATTCGGGAGAAGTAATGAGAAAAGAATTAGGTGGTTTTTGTGTAATAAGTCTTTTGGATCCATTTTGGACCATTTCAAATTGAATTCCTATTAATTAAGTGGTAATTTTCTAATAAAATGAACACTTTTACTTTGATGTATGTCTTTGTCAAGTCAAATTTGAGCACTGAAGGTATTGTTTTATTATGCTTTGAGCAGTTTTCCTCATAACAGATTTTATGTCTAATGTAATTTCTTCTCCCTTTTTTGATATATTTTTCATTTATATCACATAGATTTGAATGTATGCTTTAGATATAGCTTTGTGCAAGCTGTTAATTTTCCACTGCTTCAATCATATAACATGAAAATTTTCAAGTATTTATATTTGAAATATCATGCTAAAACTTGAATTCCAGCTATACAAAATATGCAATTAACTTGGCTTAGAATGTATGGTGGTATTATCATTACATTCCTACATCATCGCCTTTGCAGTATATGGTTTGTTTTATCTGATTGTGCTTCTTTGTTGGTTTGTGTAGTGGCAACAAATGGATATTGAATATACATTCTGGCAAATGCTTCACTTATGTACTGCACCAAAGGTCGTGTAAGTATTGATCCTTTATCATAATTCAACTTATTTTTCTATCGTTCCGTATTATCATCATCCTCCGACTACTGATTGCTTAATTCATATGATGCCTGGAATAGAAGAAAAGTACCTATTGTCGAAACGATTTTTCTTAAAGGTGAAAAGGTGAGATTTTAAAAACCACATTAATTTTTAATTTACCTCTTTCAACTGATTTTTAATTTAAAAACAAATGCGATTTAAAAACCTTCTCGTTTCGAAAAATTTTGGATTTCCTTTACGATAGAAAAAAAAATACAGTTCAAAGAGTCGCCACCAATCTTTGATTAGGGTGTGATTGGGCACCCAAAATTGTTTGTTATTTTAAATAAAAATTAATTTTTATTAAAACAACAAATTAAGGTCTGCGTTACCAAAATCCGAGTTCGGGAGTCGGTTACGTGCAGGGAAGGATTAGCACCCCCACAACGCCCTAAAACGGTACCTAGTCGATTAATTAACGTCTTTGCAATGAACTTTACAAATTCAAATTTAATTTGATTTATGATCCCCGACAAAACAATAATATACATATTTACATCATTTGTAAACACCAAAACAAATTAGATTAAAATTACCCAACCATTAGAAAGATAAAAAATATTCGATTATTTAAATATATCGAGACCAGATCTTAAATCAGTTATAACTACCTTTTCTCGATAAATTTAAATAGCCGAATATTTCTTTTCTTTCCATTCCCAAATTTTAAAGTGACGAATCAATTTTTTTTTTGTTTCACTTTTGGGATACACTTTTAATTTAAAATCGTCAAACGACCCTCTAATCAGTTAAGACAGGTCATTCAAGACAATTTAAATTAAAAGGGTATTGCCCTTAATCCAATTATGTCGTATGGTCGAGATATGCACATGAGGCTAACATGCAAATTATGCAAAAGGATGTCACGCAAAGATTAATTAAATAAAAATATATGTTACATCTAAATCCATGCTTATGAACCACGTAATAGCATATGCACACATATCATCATCGTTCAAACCAAGGATAAGTATACATCCTAAACGGATTCTAACTAATCACATATGCATACACATAAGAAACTTAAACATGAACTAAAACGTAACATGTAAAAACTTGGAGCCCTAATGTCTAGATCACAAAAAAACGAAATAACCAACATTTATGACCAAAATTAAATGCGCATGAAATGCGAAGATCAAATTAAAAACATAACAGATTAGATTTAAAGACGAAAATGCCAATTAACCAAAATTATGTGCCAAATGCGTAAACAATAATAAAAAAAACATAAACAGGTGACCAAGAAAGAAACACTTACAAACCTGAAGAAAAAATTATAAATTTGGAAAATGTGATTTAGTGACTCAAACGTGACATGCAAAACAATGAAAGTCAAAAGTCAAAAATAGCAAAATTTAAAAAAACATAAGACTGGGGACCGAAATGAAATGCACGAAAGCTATAGGAACAGAATTAAAAACATAAAAACTACGACATAGGGACAAAAACGAAACATAAAGAAAATTAACAGTTCAATGTCTGAAACGGCAAAGATTAAATACAACAACACTTAAGACTAAAATTAAATGCGGGTAAAATAAAGAGACAAAATTGGAAATAGGAAAGCATTCAGTTTGGGGACCAAAATAAAAATAAAAATAAACACAAAAACTAGAGGGATTAAACGACATTTTCACCCTAAGGATTCGGTGGCTATAAGTTAATTTACCCAAAACAAATTAATATATAACCTAAACTACAAAACCTAAACTAAATCTAATCCTAAGTAAATCATGCGCAGGAACACTCTGCCGCTCAAGCTCCATTTTTCAATCTTCTTCGCATACTGCCCATACTCCTCTCTTCTGGCCTTCAATGCCATATTCGGCTACCATCCCTTTGGTGGCCACTTCTCTTCTAAACGTAGCTCACCATCACACTCTCGTCCTAAAACTCTACACAATCGAGCCTAATAAAGCCGACCACTGTTCAAGATGGTTCCCTCCTCTCCATTCAACACAGGCCAAAATCGAGGGAAAACAACCACTGCGGCCCCTATCGCTCGTCTAACAAGTTTCCACTCCCGACGAAGGCTTGGGATCACTCCTCTCCGGCGAAATTGAAGCGAAACAAGGTATAAAACTAACTAGTAATTTCTGTTTTTACTTTACAATTTGCATTTAGTTTAATTTTTTTTAAAAAAAAGATGAATGGAAATACTAATGTAATCGTAGGAAAGAAAAGAAAAACCTTGTAGGAATTGAATTCCACTTTGTATTGCTTTGATTCGTTGAAACGAGCGAACTCTTCTGTTCCTTTGATTTTCAAATTGAAGGAAAAAAATACAGTATAATGTTTTTTTTGCTATCTATCTTCTGTAAAAAGAAACAATGGAGGTTCTTTTTGTTTTTTTGCTCTCGGTTAATTGCTCCCCCTCACTGTGTGATTTCTGCCGGATGATCCTCTTCTCTCTAATTCCCCTGTTCTGTCCCAAAAACCGCCCCTCACTGATCGTGTTATCTCTTTTCTTCTCAAACTGATCTCCCCCTTTCCTTTAGTTTAATCCCATTAAAACTGATGATGGGTGGTTATCTCCTAAAAACAAAAACTGCTAAAAACTGACCCTCAAACTGCTCTCTTCTTGTGCATATATCTGTCATCCATTGGGCTTGAATGGGCCTGTAATTAGTTTGCTTCGGGCCTGCTCCGACCTAGACTCGGATAAAAACGAGCATCTACAGCTGCCCCTCTTTGCTCATTGTCGTATAACGAGAATAGAGCAAAGATCAAAAGATGATCGAGTTTTTCTGATCATGAGAACTTCAAAAGATTAAACCACTCACTGTTACTTCGGGATAAATGAGACTTGAAAAATCTTCGAATGACGGATCTGCTCCCTCTTGTTCAGGGAGTAGAATTTGAATAATCTTCTGCCTACGGGTTCGCTCCCTCTTGCTTCAGGGAGTAAAACTCAAACAATCTTTTGTCTACGGGTTCGCTCCCTCTTGCTTCAGGGAGTAGAACTCGAACAATCTTCTGGTGATTCTGCTTCACTATTCTTCCATGAAGGCTCAACTTCGAGGGTTAAACCTGAAAATCAAACGTTGTCACTCATTAATGTATGCTTGAAGATTTGAAAAACATTATACTCGAAAAAATTAGAATTTAAGAGAATCTTTGAGAATCCATTTCTCTTGCGGGAGCTTGTCTCGCAATAACTAGATATGAAAATCTTCTTGGACTCGACAGCCATCTGAACCTCTCTCTTTCTAGGACCTTGAATTAGTTAATGACTCCTGATGCGCATTTCCTTTTAATCAATTGATCTGCTTCTTTGTACTCGAGAACCTTCGCTTTCTTCCCACATCTGATGACCTGATAGTTTGCTCCAACACTATTCCGAAAAGGCTTAAAATGGCCCGAAGGACTTATCATCTCACTCGAAAGACATACAAATGACCCGAAGGATTTCATCATCATGCTCGAAAGACTTACTGATGAATTACTTCACTACTCTTCGTGAAGGCTTACAAATTACCCGAAGGATTTAATCATCATGCTCGAAAGACTTACTGATGGACCGAAGGACTTATAAATTGTGAAATTTTGAAAATCGCATTATTTGTTTTCAAAAATTCATCTTCTCAAAACATCGTTTTTTCATTTTCAAATTCTTTTGAAACATCTTACCCGAAGGTTTTACAGATGGCCCGAAGGACTCATCATCTTGCTCTAAAGGCTTACAGATGACCGAAGATTTAAGCATCATGCTTACTGATGGCCCGAAGGACTTATAAATTGTGAAATTTGAAAATCGCATTCTTCGTTTTCAAAAATTCCATCTTCTTAAAACATCATTTTTTATTTTCAAATTCTTTTGAAAACATCTTACCCGAAGGTCTTATGGATGGTTTGCTTCACTGCTCTTCGGTTAAAGGCTTAAGATTGACTTGCTCCAATCTCATGTGTACAAGTCTTTCCAATCGATCGATTCCCTTCTTTATACACAAAAATCTTTGTTTTCTTCTATATCTGATGGTCATCACTTCAAGTAATGCTTCTTCTGTGGATTAGACCTCTCAATTCTTCAGGGTATGCCTCTCTAAATGTAACTCCTTGCGTTTGAGGTTGGAAATTTTCCATTCAAACTTGTCGGGCTTTTGACATCATGAATCTTCTCTTTTCACGGGAAGATCTGTCAAAATCATGTATTTATGCATGAAACACTAATGCATTAAATGTATCATGTAATGCATTTTCTTTTATGCAATGATGTTCTCATGAATGCATAAATGTTGAATCAATTTTCACTTGGCTCCAGAGTGGTGAGCTTGATCTCTTCTATTTGATCATCTTTCAAGGGTCTAGTGTAATGCATTTTCTTTTATGCAAATGATGTTTCTCATGAATGCATAAATGTTGAATCAATTTCACTTGGCTCCAGAGTGGTGAGCTTGATCTTCTTCTATTTGATCATTCTTTCAAGGGTCTACTTCATATGCTCGGTAGCAACTCACGGTTTCCAACTTGCATCTTTGACAAGCCCTCTGATCTTCTTCTTGTCGTCTTTGTTTTCTTTCTTTATTTCGGAGAAAGTGTTTTCTCTCTCAATCTTGCTATAGTAAGAATACGATTGTGTTGCCCCATTTCCGTCCTTGGCTCAATTATACTTTCAGAGTTGTTCTTCCAGGACTCTGCCATTGATCAATGCTCAGTTGATTTGCTTTACAAGGTAAGCTCTGCTCAAATTCACGTCTGCCCCTAACACTTCAAGTTGTGAGGCTCATTCTCAATATCTGCTTGATCTGAATCTTGTCATCCCAACATGATATGGGTTTCTGGTCATGCCCCAAAGTGGGTACTCTTGGATCTCTTTGTGCCCAACATATCATAACTGAATGTTCTCATTCTCGTGTCACTACATAGTAGTGTTGTCAAGTAGTTTGAAGGCGTCTCTTCACATTGTCATATCTTGTCATCCCAACATGATA